GTATGTGATATTTGTTGTAGTTAAGTATTAAAAGTCAAAGTAGTGTGGCCCTGTGATGGACTTGCGACCTGTCCAGGGTATACCCCGCCCCTCGCACTGTGACTGCTGGATATGGGCACCAGTGACCCACGCGACCCTGAAAAGGAATAAGCGTGTACAGAAAATGGATGGATGGATGGATGGAAGACGCCAACCTGGAAAATGTGTTTCTTGCGTAATGCATGATGCTGCCAAAGTCGTACACCTCTCCCAGTGAGTCCACCTCGTCGGCCTCCATCTTCAGGAAGTTGTACTCTTGCCCTTCAGGGGAGTCGTCAGAGAAAACACCAGGAGCATCAGAAAGTGGCCACGTTTCGCTGAACGCTCACATTCAGCGAGCCGTACCTGGTTGGATGTTGTCTCTGATGATGTTCACGTGCTCGTCGCGGTCCGGACGCGTGTGCTCGTGCCAGAAGCCGATCACGTGGCCCAGTTCATGGACCACGATGCCGAACTTATCGCAGTTCTTCCCGATGGAGATGGCCTGAGGACCGCCGCCTCTCCTCCCCACGTAGGAGCAGCACCTGCAGAGATGCAGGTCGAAGTTGATGCAGTTATTCTCAACGTGTAAATTGGAGGGGAGTTTGAAGGGGCGGAGCAAGACAGTTTTTGCCAGGGGTGGCACATGTGAATACAGAAAAGCACACTGGATTTGAAAATTCAAGATGGTTGCCTCAGCGGATTTCAAACAGCTTTACTTCAGCTGTTTTAAGAAGCATTGATTTGAAAAATCTGTGTAACCGTAGCTAAGAATGATAAACAAAACACGCTGAATGCTAGTCACAGCAGCCATTCAGACATACAAAGCTGAAGATTAGCGTAGAGGTAGCTGGAAACAATCCTTCAAAAATTCTAAATGCTAATCAAAAATTCAAGATGGCCACCACAGCTAACTTTGAAAGGCTATACTTCATCCATTTTAAGACTTACCGAGATTAAATTTGTTGTGGAGTAGCTAAGATCACAAACCGATTACTGGTGCGAATCCCAAATTAAGCTAACCACTAATGCTAATTTTACAATGGGCTGTAATTCAGGCATTATTCAACAAACGCAGCTGAAATTTTATAGAGTGCAGTAGAACAATCTAACAAAATTTAAAAGCAAATAGAAAATCAACGATTCTCATCCACTTGTCAGATATTTGGGAGTGACACATGGGGTGGCCACTCACCCCTCTGGCTCTGCCTGATACGATTGGCTTGGTTGGTTTGAACCCCAAGATGCAGGACTGAGTGAGGGTGGCAAAAAAGGTTTATTAAAGCAAAACAAAAGGTGCTGACGTGGCAGCAAACAAGAATTAGGGATTTGGGCAGGATCAAGAACATGAACATCAAATAAACAGCAAGAGCAAGAGCAAGAGAACAAGGAACAAGAAACACTAAACAAGGATCTGACACCAGACTGAGACAAGACAGGACTTAAATACACTGACAACTAATGGATGAACTGA